CCCCTGACCTTATGAGTTCTGATAGTCATTTTAATGTTTCCCACAATTATTGTGAATTTACTAAATTGTCTGTGCAATTTTATGAGTTGATGCTTAACACATTTAAAAATGATTTTGTTTAGTGAATAAAATTTCTGTCTTATTTTCTAGATAAACCACTCCATTTGTCAGTGAGCAATGATATTCCACATCATACTGATGATTTGTTTTACCTAATATCTACATTTTTTAAATTTTTAATTGTTTTGGTGTGTATTTTCCTCTTCCCTTATATTCAGCCTACCAAAGTTGTTTTCCTGTGTTTGTTTTAAATCCATTATGAGGATTTAAGGGGATATTTTGAGACTTTCATATCACCTAGGCTTTTAATTTTGTCAACTTCTGTTATTTCCTTCTCTGGAGCAGTGTGCTTTCTAGATCCCCTTCTTCTTCCCTTTTTGGCTTTATTGAATTTGCTTCTTTTCATCTTCTGTTTTCAAATGGCTAATTTTCCATTCTGTTCTAATTTTCTAATATTCTCATTTTTATTCTGCAGATGACTCTTAAATTTTCAAATATTTAAATTCTGACAATTTTCTTTAAAAAAAAAGATTTTATTTATTTGAGAGAGAGAGAGAGCAGAGAGAGGAAAGAGGGTCAGAGGAGAAGCAGAATCCCTGCTGAGCAGGAAGCCGGACTTGGTACTTGATCCCGAGACTCGATCTCGGGACTCCAAGAGCATGACCTGAGCTGAAGGCAGTCCCTCAGCCAACTGTGCCACACAGGTGCCCCTAAATTCTTATAATTTTCTAATGTGTAATTATAACTCTCCAGCAAAAAGACAGTCAACATGGTTTTATTACTGTCTACCCTTTCCTCTTGGCTTTTCAAAATCTAATGCTGCTGCTACTCAGTATTTTATTTTATTTAAGATTTTATTTATTTATTTGACAGAGAGCTAGAGAGAGAGCACAAGTAAGCAGAGCGGCAGGCAGAGGGAGAGAGAGAAACAGGCTCTCTCCTAAGCAGGGAGACTGAGGCGGGGCTCGATCCCAGAACCCTGAGACCATGACCTGAGCTGAAGGCAGCCGCTTAACCAACTGAGCCACCCAGGCGCCCCTACTCAGTATTTTAGTTACAGATTTTTATAAGCTTGATAAATACTTAAATTTCACAGTGAGTTTCCTGAATTTTGTTTTGCTCTGTTTACCATTGCTTCTTGTGTCCTGTTATTCGTTCAAGTTTTTTGTTGTTACTGTTGGAACACATCTTTTACTAGCTCTTTCAGAAAATGTTCTTGAGTGGTAGTATGTTTGAGTTCTGGTATGCATAAAAATATTTTTATTTCTCTCATTCTTTAATGAGAGGTACAACTGTATATTCAAAATTGTTTCTTTTATCTCTTCTGATCTTCAGCTGTCTTCACAGACTTTTTATTTGTAATGTTTTTGACTAGAAGCCTACTGCCAATTTTTAAAATATAAGTAATTTGGCTTTTCCCTCTATCCTTGGTCTGAAATTATACTCATTATGTGCCCAGGAATGGTTTTCTTAATTTTGCTTTGCACTATAGTTTTTGGCCATTTCAATCTAGACTATTATGAATATTTTCAGTTTGGAGAAATTCCTAAGCAGTGTATTTTCTCTCAGTTATTTCTGTGGCTTTTTGAAAGTCCTTTTTTATGGATATTGAAAATTCTGGACTTACTGTGCAACCCACTTAACATTTTCTCATACTTTTTAGAATGTTATCACTTATTCTATATTTTGAGAGGACTCTTAATCTCATTTTTCAGAGTTTAAATACTATATTTAATAATAATGAAAAAATGTCATTTCTGCATATATTCATTATATATTAATACATACTGTTATTTAAATATCCTTGCATATGGGTGGAGCCATTCGACTCACTCTGGACTTTATATTGGGCTACATTTCTAGGCCTGTACTCTTCATTTTTCCTTATCCTTCTGCATGCTCTTTTTCTTAATCAGCCATCCAGACACACAGCCACTAGATGATTGGAAACTGGATTCCTGAGTCATCATTTGAAGGAGAGTCTTCTGACCAGGAATGTCTACATTGGACTTTACATGAATGAGAAATAAACATCGACTGGGTAAGTTATTGAGATTTGGGAGTTATTTCCTGAAGCACATGGTGTTCTTTGGTGCAGATAATATACCGCAATAGGTAGTTTAATGCTAACATATGACAATATTAGATAAAATTAAAAATCTAACATAATCTTATTTGCATTTTTTCTTCTTACCCCATGGTTTCAGGCTTTACTGTCTTACAAGAATGGTGTAAAGTTTGCTTACTTGCTTGTGCCTTTACTGTAATTATCACTATATAATTCAACACCAAACACAATTCATTACTCATTATAAGCTTTCCATAGCTGCTTTAAAAATGAAGTAAGGGTATTCTGTATCTTAGGAATAGACTTTTAAGCTTCTGTAAAATCAATATTTCAAGTAAATTTATTCCATTTGAGAATTTGAGTTCTTGCCATATGTACATTTTGTAGCCTTCTTAGAGATTATTTTACAAACTGGTGTATTTGTGTGTGTTTTTGAACTTAAATGCATTCTTATTTTAGACAACCTCTGGGACATGGTTTTTTTTCTTAAAAACGATACAGATGTAGTGAAAAGAAGGGCCATCTGTACCCTAACGTTTATAGCAGCAATGGCCACGGTCGCCAAACTGTGGAAAGAACCAAGATGCCCTTCAACGGACGAATGGATAAGGAAGATGTGGTCCATATACACTATGGAGTATTATGCCTCCATCAGAAAGGATGAATACCCAACTTTTGTAGAAACATGGACGGGACTGGAAGAGATGATGCTGAGTGAAACAAGTCAAGCAGAGAGAGTCAATTATCATATGGTTTCACTTATTTGTGGAGCATAACAAATAGCATGGAGGACAAGGGGAGATGGAGAGGAGAAGGGAGTTGAGGGAAATTGGAAGGGGAGGTGAACCATGAGAGACTATGGACTCTGAAAAACAATCTGAGGGATTTGAAGGGGCAGGGGGTGGGAGGTTGGGAGAACCAGGTGGTGAGTATTGGAGAGGGCATGGATTGCATGGAGCACTGGGTGTGGTGCAAAAACAATGAATACTGTTATGCTGAAAATAAATAAAATTAAAAAAAAAAAGCAGAAACCACTAGAAAAAAAAAAAGCAATGCCTCCACTCCAGATAAATCAAGGTCAAAATAAATGAAGAGCTCAAGATGGCATCAGTTCCATTCGTCTAAGTCCTGTTGTCATGTGGATGAAGAGCAGCAGTCAGCGATGACAACAGGTGATACATCCAAAGTCAGAGCCAAATTCATTAACATTTTTCCATTTCCACACCATCCTTAAAGAAAATCCTGTGTGGGGTCCTGCCATCCTCAGAATAACCCTGCAGAGCAACCATGCCCTCTCGGTCCATGTTTTCATCAGGAAAGAACTGGTAGTTTTTGCAGTTAGCAAGGATGTGCTTGATGTGCTTTGTAGCCCCTGTCATAAAAGGTTTTACTCTTTCTGGCTGCTGTTCTTCAAGTTTGCCTTTGACTGATTTGATGTAATCTTTGACGTGCTTCTTGTAGGCTTCTTTGGTGCAGCTGGTTTCTGTAAGTGATGGTTTAGGACAGTATCACCACCAGTAGTGACTGGGCTTTCTGTACCCTCACCCTCAGGGCCTCCTGTGGAGGTGTTTCCACCAATGAGTGAGTCATCAGTGTTGCCCTCTGTCCTCCTGACCATCCTCCCCTCCACCTCCTGGCACAGCCCCTGTGTCATCTCCCAGATCTTGTAGATGGTGGACAACATCTCATCCTAGCGGATGAGGTCCCAGGAGGTGATCATGGTGGTGGCTGGAGAAAAAGGGTGATGGTGCTAACTTAGCAGAGCTGGGAGCTCTGAGCAGACGTGGTGCAGCATTCAGGGGGTGGATAGGGAGGAGTGGGCAGAAAAAAGCTACAACCAGGTGTATTTGATTAACTCTCATCTCTTGAATTGTCCATTATATGGAATTTCACTGTTCCATAATTTAGAGAGTTCAAGGTGATAAAATATTTTTAATAAATACTTAGTATTTACCAAACTACACTTAGTTTAATTTATACTCAGTAGGTTGTAAAATATAAATAGAGCAAAGTTTATAACATAAAATATGCTAAGTACAATGATGGATACCAAGGAAATGGTAATGACATGTACCATGGTAATGGATTATGATGATAGGATAGATTTGGGTCTCCTAGGGCAGTGTGGTAGCTGCTGAATCTCAGTGGTGATCCAGTGTTTATTTCTCACTGAAAGTATGTATCTGAAATAGGGCAAGGAGGAACCCAGTGCCACATGGTTACTAAGAGACCCAGGCTTGGAAAGAGGCACGAAATTGTCATAATGCTGACTCACCTGGTCTTCTGGGGTTGCCACAGCAGGAAAAGAGAGAGCTGGGAGGCCAGACAGGGTGTTTTTCACTCTTTCTCTCACTAAGTTACTCATGTCACTTCGGTTTGCATTTGACTGGCTGGAGTTCTTCCTACAGCCGTGCCCATCCCAAGATGGCTACAAAGTCAGCCTTCCATGAGTCAGGGGAGAGGGGAACCAGTTATGGATGGGCACCAGTAATGTGTCCAAAATAGCTACCATTTACTGAAAGTACAATATGTATACTATTACATCTAACTTTCAGAGGTACCTTATGTGGTTCTTACTTTTAATTTGCCATTTTACAGGTAAGGAAACTGAACCCTACAGATGTTAAATAACTCACCCAAAGTTTGAGTTAATAAGTGAGTTCAAGATCCAGAACTTGAAACCATGTCTGTATTAGTAGAAGGACCATACTCTTATTCACTACAGAATTTCACCTCTTCATGATAAATATTCACCACTTATATTAGTATTGTTCTGACTGATAGATTTCCCAATTATCAGGAACATTGAAGGAAGATTGAAGTGACAAGGCTGACTCCTTATCTTTACCCCTTTCCAGGCCTCATGGTTGGGTCCAGGACCGGAGGAGACCTCAGGTTGAAGCCTTCCTTACACTGACTATGAGACCAATCCTTATGTCAGGCCAGAGCAGTTCAAAAGAAGACACGTCGCCAACAAGGTCAGTCCTGTGCCAAATCTGCCCTTCTAAGAATTATTCTTTTGTTTTGTTCATGTGTCCAAGCCCCAAGCTTCTATTGTAAGTCTGACACAATATGGTAGAAACAGTATGGGCTTTGCTCACTGTCCAACCTGGGCTTAATTCCAGGTTCCAACACTTACTAGCTATGTGACCTTGGGAAAATTACTTCCCAGAGATTCTGTATTTTTCACTTGTAAAATAAAAGCAATAATGGTAAGTACTATTGTTAAAGCTGACATTTGTTGGGCACTTATATTGCCTCCTCTGGGCTAAGTGTTTTAGCATAAATTGTCTTATTGAATCCCTCATTATCCCCCTGAAGTAGGTACTATTATTCTGCATATATTATACATGAGAAATTATGTAATTTTCCCACACTTAACCAACTAATAACTGACCGAGGATTCAGACCAAGAATTCACTAACTCCAGAACTATAGTCATTGCTTCTAAGAAGTATTTATTTTTATTAACATGGAAATTATGTCTATGTTCATTTATTTCCTCCCATTTTCCCCAGTAATTTGATGTTTACTTGTTCGATTATTCTCAGGTCATAAACTTAAAACCCAGTCTAGTGTCCCACTCTAGCATCTTGCCTAGTTCCCATGAACATAATCCATGGGCTCCTTCATCACTGTGAGGGCTTTTCTGACGCTTTTTTCCACTGGTTGAAATGTCCAGATATTGCCTGACTTGAACATCTCCATTCCCAGTCTTCACTTGCCTGATTATTAAAGGCTCCATTGTGTTTTAGTGCTCTCTTCTGTTATTAAACTTACCCATCCAAAGAAACACTAAATGCCAGCTAAGAAAGATACTCATGAGTAAGGCGTATAGTCTACTTTCGGTAAGCTTACACACTAGCACAGGAGATAAGATGCGTGTAGAAATAAGTGTAAGGCATACAAGGAAGTAAATTAGGCCTGAAGACAGGCATAAACATTTGAACAGTTCTCCTAGGAGGGGGAGCGGGAGTCGGCTGACATCTCTGAGTACCTGAAATAAGACAAACACTGTCCCATGTCTTATTTAAATTTCTCAAAACCCTGTGAAAAAGGCATTGTGATACTTTTCTTTTTTGTTTTCTAAGTAAGAAAACCAAGGCCCACAGTTATGAATTTGTTTGCCCTAGAATGTTGTACAGCTTGGACACTGCGATCTGCTGGTCTGAATAGACCCCGTTTGCTCAGTGAACACATCTCTTTTCTGTGTCCTAGTCCTCTTCCATCCTGCTATAGCTCTTCTAGACTCACGGGGGAATTCAGCCTCTCAACTGATAGGCCTCTTTATGGATCCTACTATACTGATTTCTGATTGGAAAGGAGAGGGAAAAGGCAGTGGAGGAGGAGATGGCCAAGTTCTTTAGACAGATATGCATCCCTAAACTTGAGGAACTCCCACTAATACGGAGTATTGCTCAGGGCTGGCCCAAGGTCAAACTGGTAAGTAGGAGAAGTCTCCCTGGAGTGGCTCTGATACCTGTATTTGCATCTTCCCCCCCATTTCACGTGTGTCACAGTGTTTGATTTGTCCCATCTGTTTTCTAGGACTCCCGTCTAGTCTGGCATTAAGAAAACTTCTTCCCTAATGAGGTTGGCTTCCTGCCCCTACATATCACAAGTATGTGATTACTACCCAGCAGTGTTGAGGCAAGCATATTGAGCATTGGCTCTTGGGGGTTGAGTAGGAAATGTAGGCCTCTTGTAGTAGCTTAGCAAGTATCCTTTCTGAGCATTACATACTGATGATCTGTTCTTTCCTTTGTTTGCTTCCCATGCTCTAATTCCTATCTTTTCTGTATCTGCTTTCCCTGAGTCTTCCCCTCTAAGTACTGCACATCTGCAAGTTGTGATCTTTTTCTTGGACTTGGAGTGCCTGACTTGTCCCATCTTCTTTCTGAATCCCCTATAGGGGCCATCAGTCTCAAGACGTTGGTGTCAATGGGTCATCTTAGTTTTTTGACAAATCAGTCTCTGGGGATGTTGGAGTTTTATAAAAATAATCATTCTAGATCCTGGGCGTTGAAGCTGTTTTTTACTGGTTTTCCAAGTTCTGTGTGGCAGCAATGAATAAATTAGAAGTACTTTGAATATATGGACATATGTATGAATCAGGACACTACAAGGTTTGGTGGTGACCTTTGTTGTCACTCTGCATGGGATCCGATCCTGGCCCCAATCTTTGATAGTGTGTGGTCTTAGGAAAGTTACTTAACTGCACTATTCCCTATTTTCCTTATTTATTAAACAGGAGTATCAACCACAATAGTAGTGGTATCTATCTTATAGCTTTCCTTCGTTTTTTGGGAGGATGAGGATTAAATGAAATTATAGATATAAAGCCCTTGGTTTAGGATGTGGCCTATGTAAGCACTCAATAAATTTTGGGTACAAAGGAATAGGTACTTTTCTTAAAAATACTGTTCAGTTAGGCTTCAATGGGAATTGTTCTTAAAACTCTCAGATGTCAATTTTATTTTAAAATAAAATTTGCATGTTCAGGTAACTTCAGGCGAAAGAGATGGGGGAGCTTACCTTAGACACTAAGACACTTCTAAGGGTTCTTTGGAGGAATTTACCATTTGCACAATGCAGTGATTTAGCTAAAAGCACAAAAATGTTTCAAAATATCTGTAGTTTAGTCAAAATTAAAAAGGAAGATAATACCATCTCTTTTCTTTTGATATTTTGAAAGCTTCAGGAAATTTCAACATAGACGAAAAGAAGAGTAGAAAGGAATAAGAGACCTAAGTGAGGTTCAAAGAAGAGCTGTTGTTTTTACTTGAGATTTAAATAGTGGGAGAACACAGAACTGCTTTTTCTATAAGCAAGAAACCGGAATGAGAATGATGAGGTCATTGTGCTTTTAAAGTGGTAGGAGAATTGCAAAATATTTAATTGTCTATCGGAAAAGAAAGTGTTGTTTTTTTTTTTTTCAGTGTTCTCACTGTGAAAATGTATATATTTGTTTGTATAAAGAGGTAGTTCTGAATATTGGTATTTAAATATTTTTTTAAAAAAACACTGAATATAAATGCATACAGAGAATTAAAGATGATGGATTTAAATTTATTTTTTTCTAGTGTTGTGTGTCTGCTGGAATTTGAACCAGAAGTACTTTCATTTAGATGCTTGTATGATAAAGACCCATAAAACTGTAAAACTTTGCTATAGCTGTCAGAGATCACAGTTGAATGCAATTCAAATTATGAGCTCATTGAAAGCACCTTAAAATGTCAGTAAACTCATTTTTTTGAACTGTTGGCTATCTGCTGGTGAAGATAGCAATAGGCTCCCAATCTTACGGATGTGTGATTCTCAGTTCAATTACTATGATGTGGTCAGAAATATTGCCTATACTTTGGTGATGGGGTATTTTTGAAATGTGAATTAACATTCTCACTCAACACTTGGTACAGTTTCACTCCGGGCTGTCACTTTTAATGGTTGTTCTGCCTTTTTAAATTCTGCGTAGCACAGAAAATGTCTGGATGAGTCATATCACGTTGCTAAATGTGGTTGTCTGGCATGGGGTGAGAAATAGGTTAGAGTTAAGTCCCGTTAAATTTTTACTTGGTATTTTTTTTTTAATGGTGAGCTTTTAAGTGATATTTTTTTTTATTGCTTGTGTTTTTTCCCCCATTTTTCCATTTTGAAAACATATTTTCAGATTAATAAGGATATATGACCTAGCAATTTCATTTCTAATTATATACTTATATATTCACCAGAAGATATACATTAGAACTTACATTACTACTTGTATTAGCCCCAAACTGAGACCATTCAAATTTCTAAGAGAAACTGATGCAGTGAGATATATATCTATCTTTACAGATAGATATATAGACATATATATATATATATATATATTTATATTCATTCTATCTATCATCTATCCTCACAATGGAATACTACATAACAATGAAAATGAACAGTGTATAATTACATGCAGTCATGTGGGTGACTCCTACAAACATAGTATTTAAGAAGCCAATAACAGAAGAAACTATACTGTATGATTTTCTTATATAGACTGCAGTGTCATAGAAAAGCTTATCTCTTCTGTTAGAGAAAGGTTAATAGTTCATCCTAGAGGTAGAATGACTGGCAGGGAGAATAGGAAGCCTCTAGGTTGTGTGTAATGCTCTTTCTTGATCTGGGCGTTGATTATATAGTTGTATACTTGGTGAAGATTGAATGAGATGTAAACTTAGGAAACAATGTCCTTTTATGTATTATAATCTACTTCGTTAACAAATTTTAAAACAGGGAAAGTTACTTCATTACCAAAACTTAACAGTTTTGGGTGTCCTAAAACATTATGAAGAAATTTCATCCTTAAGATCTGAACAGGCTTTGACTTTGATGGTGCCTTACACATTAGAGTTGCTGGATAAGTGTGTGTTTGTGTGCTTTATTCTGTTGTGATTATTTAAGAACATGGTGCTAACACTTCATTATAAATATTCATAATAAAACTAGGTGAGACAAATCATACTTTATAAAACTCCTGAAAGGTTTTCCCTTGGAGTACTGAGTGGCACCTAATATATCTTTCTTAAAAACTTGGAAGGCTGATAATACCCATTAACGTGCACATATTCAATTCCAAAGGACATTGCTAACTCCCTGCTTTGTCTCTATTAGTAATTTCTATCTGGCTTCTGTCCTCCACTTAAATGGTGTTCATTGAATTTACCAAGGACAGTAATTTGTTTTATCATTATGATGATGCATTGCCCTAACAGATTGGTAGCTCACTGTTGTTGTTGTTGTTGTTTTATCACAAAGAAGATATATTTTATAGTGATTGAAAAATTTACTCAGGATTATGTTTATTTTAGCAAGTGGATAGTCATTGTTATATTGGCATGGAGATACTCACCTGAAGTACTGTGGAAGATTTTTTTTTTTAATGGATCATTTTCTGAACGAGGCCTGGGAATAAAAATACTATGTCATACATAGAGGAATT